AAGTCTCTAAATTACTCTAGTTGAACTTAGACTTGCAATCTTCCTGTCTAAATCTCCAAGCATGCCAGAATTGCAGACATGCACCACCACACCCAATAAAACATTTTTGATTGTTAAAATATTGCCCCATTCCAACCACTTCCTTTTCTAAGAACCCTTCTCCAACTCTTCCTTCTAGGTACTTATTTTGTGTTCTTTGTAGGGTATTTGCCCTAAGATATTATGTAAATAAAATACATTTTAACTTCTCAAATAGACTTGTACAATTTACTTGGTGTGGATCCATGATGTAAGAGTTTGATTGGAGGGAGGGATGCGGGAAATGCACACACTACAAGGCCCAGGGCCAGGTAATGGATTAATAGCTGTCCGTTCTTGGAGGTTCTGTGAAACTTCTAGGCCTCTGTTAACATACACACAAAGGCTGGGTGAGAAGACCCTGGGTGTTTTAAGTGAGGGCTTGGAAGGACCAAGTGCAAAATCATTGAGCAAAGTATTTAAAGGAGGAATATTTTCCACTGATCCTCTCACTTCTGTTCCTTTTTCGAAAGCCACCATACCTGGGAAAAGAGGTTATTACAGTTGTTTGTTAGGACTGCCATAACACAATATCACTGTATGGGTGGCTTAACAAAAATTTACTTTCTCAAACTTCTGGAAGCTGGAAGTCTGAGATCCTGAGACAGTGGTAGGGTTGGTCTTCTGAAGCCCCTTCCTGTGGCTTACAGGTGGTTGTATTTTCCATGTTTCTTCTCATGTCTTCCTTTTGTGCCTGTCTCCTCATATAAGGACATGAGCCACATTGGATTAAGTGACTAGTATAACTTCATTTTACCTTACTTATTTCTCCAAGGCCCTGTCATTTGAATTCTGAGGTACCAAGGTCAAAGATTTCAATATATTAATTTGGGGAGAGAGGCACATTTGAACCCATAACTGTTATGTACGGTCTTGACCACTTGTTTGGAGAGTGAAATAGCTAATCTTTCAAAATATTGATGGTTGTGAACTTGTAGATGAAACCTCCTGGAATCCTCTATCACAGTCCTATCATATTCCAGCTGAGTTCCTAGAGCCAAAGATAGGCTCCATTAGCATCTCCAAATGCCAAAGAATGAATGAGCCATCTAGAAGTAGGCAAACAACCACATTTGCTAAAAGGATAATGTTTCATCCATTAAATAAATGTGATACCTTTTTCTAGTCTGGTATCAATATAGAAAGCATGTGAAAAATGATTTCACTGAGAGTTAATTGACTGCGGAGACTCTATTTTCAGTCTCTGCCTGTATTTTTTGAATTAATATACACAGTGGGTGATTCAGTAAAGGGTTTAAAAATAAATTCTTTATAGAAATATTTTGCCAATTTGATGTCTTCATAATTCATGAAGAGTAGATCCATAATAGCTCTTATTTTCTCTCCAACTTTGGAAAATGAAGATGCCATTAGTTTAAATTAGGCTTGTATGTGAAATAATCGAGTGTATCAACAAATATAGTTTGATTCAGATGCCATTTAACTAAGATAAATGCTAGAAAAGGGCTGGTTATTTTATTTTAAAGTGAATATAAAACCTGTATTGACAAACTAAGGTAAATGTATAATAAAGATATAATAGACAACATATAAATTTATAAAATTCAGTTATATGAAACATTATATGAGACGCTATTGAAGAATATCTACTCTTTTAAAAAGTACTCTTAGAATATAAAAATATTTTTTGATAACTGGTGGTATTTAGAGAGCTCCGTGAGCACTCTGCATCGTTTGTAAGTATGTAGATACATACGGAGTCGCGTAATTTTTTTTTTGGTATCGGGGATCGAACTGGGGGCTTGGTGCTTGCGCGGCAGGCGCCGGAACCACTGAGCTAAATCCCCGGCCCAAGTCGTGTAATTTTTAATGTTGAAATATGTCTTAGGCTCTCTTAGGGCCTCCTTCCATCAGCTGGAGAAACCCATGTGGAAAGAATTATGGCACAGAGCTGTGCACCTCGTTCATCTGTTTTCTCTCAAGAATTTCAACTCCCTAAGGAAGCTTATTGTGGATAGTATTTTATCTCTTCTTGCTGTAGGAAATGAGAGGATGAAGAAGAGAATTGGATTTGTCAGAAAGCTCCTGGAGCCAGGAGGCTCCTGGGACCAGGGCTTGGTGTCCAGCTCCAGGCATCGCTCAATAACTTGGTCATATTTGTTCTCTAATATCAGATTTTGCTTTCCATTCGTGGGTGGCAGGGTAGAAGAAAAACTTTATGAAGATTTAATTCCTGATATAATCCCTAAGAAGGGGAAGAGTAAGTCAGTTCAGGATTACTTTTTACCTCAGAAGTCCCTTTTTTCCCTTTACAATGTGTAAAAATTATACATTTAGTATTTATTCTAGTATATGAGTATACTTTGACAAAACATCAGGAAGAACCATTTACTATAATTCTTCCCAGGAATATTATATTGCTGGTTTTTGTGTTTATAGTGGGTTGGGCCTATTAAAAATAGCCTAAAGTTTATTTACCCACATGAACTGTTGACTGTAGATCATGGAGAATACAGTGCCAGTTATGCCAGAATACAGTGTTATGCCTGTTTGTCATCATGAGAATTCAGACATGAATTGTGACTGGTGGCCTATTAATTGCTTTCTCTTGTTTAAAGCATTTTTTAGCTCTGCAAAGTAATTGTTAATGCAAAATGTTGTAACTGAGCAAGGTTTGGAATTCCTACAGCTCCAGTCAGAATGAATGCTGCATGTAGCACTCGGAAGTCTTATTCCATTGTTTTGTGGTTGTGTGCTATTGGATAGTCTCTCTTGGAGTGTAATTAGAAATTGGGCAGTCAAGGGGTAGGTAGCACAGTTTGCTTTTCTGGTATGTGTCTGTATTAGAGAGACCTTCCATTTCTGCTAACACTGTCATATTCTCTGGGGAATAAAGTTCTTTTTGGTTATTTATTCTTTTAAAAAAAGTTGCCAGCTAAAGTACTTACAAGAGCTTTCCACAAGAAGAGATTTGATTTTTTTCCCCTCTAAAGTAATGATAGCAGTTTTACATAAAATGCATTTAATGAAGTACAGGACATCCTTGTAATATTCATAAACTGGGATGATATGCATACCATTGGCCTAGAGTCCCACTGTCAAATATAATTTGTTATGAAATACAATAATTTTTAATTTAGTCTTTAAAAGATAGAGCTAAATTTTAATTTTGAAACTACATCTATAAAAATTTAAAGAGTTGGGGCCAGGGATTTAGCTCAGTGGTTCTGCCGCCTGCCTTGCAAGCGGGAGGATCCGAGTTCAATCCCCATTACCAAAAAAAAAACAAACAATTTAAAGAGTAGCTTTAGAAACCGATTAAGAAGGATTTTTATCTTAAAGACTTCTATGCCTGATGTGTGTTAGTTTTAAATACTGTAACTTATTTCTCTTTCTCCAGTTTTTACCTGTCATAGGCTGCATTACTGTTACTTTCTGTGGAAAGTTTCAGCAAAAATTTCCTTTTTTTTTCTTCTCATTACATACATTTTGCAAATGTTTATTTGCTCAAATAGCTTGAACTCAGTAAACATTGTCTCTAGTTGATGGGAGGATCATTCTCTACTGAAGAGAGTGTTATGATGATTTTCCTAACACAGAAACTCTGGGGATGAAATGTAGCTTTTGCATGTTAGTATCAATTGTGGGGTGGGAAAGGTGGGGCTGGGAGGTTTTGGAGGGTGTGACCTTATATGACAATACAGAGGAAATAATGGGCACTGTGGTAATACTAAACAAAGAAAAAAGCATAAAGCTTGTATTTGTGTGAGCAAGTATGGTGAAAAAATTGTTAGTAAAATGTCTAAGATTAAAAATAGTAGTGAAAATTGTAAATGTAAAATATCTTTTAGCAAATACCTTAGCTGCCAAATTTCTTATTGGAAGTTTTGACAGTCTAGTAATTCTGTAGACTGTCACTTTTGACAGAAGCTTTAGCTTCTTTTTACTTCTCCTGTACCTCAGAAAATACCAAGGACTGGTGTTATAGCAGATACTATAGAGAAGAATTTGGAGAAAGGGTAACACTTAGTGATGTTTCTTCGGTATCATCCAGTGTCTTCAGCATGTCAGGTAAAACCCATTTAGTCATTACAACAGCCCTAAAAGGAAGATAATATTATCCTCATCATATATATTTAAAATAGATTTAAATTATTCAAGTGAGTAATTGAAGTCATTAATAAACGTACCTACATTATAGATGATGAAGTGATTCAGAGTATACATGACTTGTTGAATCAATATATGGAGAGACTGAATTTAGAGTTGAGCCATGGTCCTCTGGTGCCATACTTTTAACTACTACACTGCTTTGCCTCTGGAGCCAAATACTTGGATTCCCAAAGATGTGAAGGTTGATTGAACCAGAAGATTTGACATATGTAGCTTTTCATTTTTACAGAAGAAATCAAACTGTGGCCTAGAGTAGTTGGGATAAACTGCTCAAGATTGCAACAGAATTTAGTGGCAGAATAGGAGACATGCCCCTCTCCGCCTGGTGCCTGTCCTCCTGCTTCCTTCCCCCCAGGAGTCCATAGGTTGCAGTTTGCCTTCCTCAATCACATCAATCTCCTTTTGCCACCTCTGACAGCCTGAAACATTATGTGTGAAGGTGCAGCCCAGTGCTCTGGTACTTAGGGAAGTGCATTCCTGAATTACAAAGAAGGGCTCATGAAAGGAAATCACCCAGGTGTATAATGGGAGTTAAGAACTTGTTTTCTTAAGAAAAAAATGGAAACAAAGTTTTTGTTAATAGGGAAGGGTGGAGAGGGGTGCAGGGAGGACAGGGAATGGGGAAAAAATAAGAACCAAGATATATCATGTACAGGTATAAGTAAAAAAAAAAAAGAACTTGTTTTCTTGGTTTATGCATCTTCAATTGTGTCTGCCTTGACATTCATTAAAGTATTTTAAATGTCTTCACTGAGTTACATTAACATTGACTTTTTTCTCTTTTTCAGGTATGGAAAAATTGTATCCACAAAGGCAATTCTTGACAAAAATACAAATCAATGCAAAGGTATGTGTGAGGGAATCTATGCCCTGAACTCTTGCCTCTGCTGTTTGATGGCTCCTCCATTACAGTGGTCCAGGTCCCAGCTGCAGAGTGATCACAATGTACAGTATGTAGCAAGCCTCTTTAGTAATACTGATGCTTTGATGAGTTGTATTTCTGGTAACATTGCTCATTAATTTTTTTCATTAACAAACAAAATGAAAATCACAAATCAGAACAAGTATCAAATTGCTTCAGCATAAAACTAAATTATCTCCTAACAACTTTGGGTTGTCTGATGTGAATGATATTATCAGTGATACAAATTGATTTCCTATATAAAAATAAGAAAGGCTGAGGAAAACTTTCCCATGCAGAACATATTTTAATTTCTCTGTTCTTTAAAGCTTTAGCAACATTTGGGATTAGGAATGAATTTATTGATGGTCCTGTTGTATCCACGCTTTGGCTGTAAATAACTCACATAATTTTGGAGTTGACATCTTGTTAGGTCAGGATTTTTTCTCTACTGCAGATATTTTTGAGTGCATTTTACTATATATGTGGCTTAGGTTTCTTGCTATCTAGAAATCCCATACACTTATGAAGGTTGTGTTAAATTATTTGTGAATTTTATATGGTCTCTTCTGGATGATTTAATTCTTACTGAAAAATGGAATGTTCCTTATAACATTTTTTTTTCCTAATCTACTCTTTGTTGTGATATTGAAATCAGGAATTGTGGTAGAGTCCAAATCATTTTAAAAGCTGCCCCTACTATATATAGAAATATAACATTCACAAGTTTTAGAGAAGAATACTCATATGTATCCTAAGCTATTTGGGTATAGTAGCCAAGTTTAATTCAGTAATGAAAAAAAAATTCCATGCCTCCTCCATACTAAGAAATGAACTATGTATCACGAAGCAGAAACTAATACATGATTTCTGCCACCCAACAGTTCAATTTCTAGTTGAAAAAAAAACCAGTAAACTAATTCTAATATTCTTATATTGCTCTTGTCCATGTGGGAATGCAAGAGATGTATATATAGTAGAAATATCTACTAAGTACTGTTGGAGAATAATATAGAGAATTGTTTCTGGGGAATGAAATGTATTTAAAAAATGAGAATGGATGAGTTTGGGAAAGGTTGCTGCTCAAGAGAAAGATTTCAGAGTACAAATTTGTAGATCATGTATCTAGAATAGAATATTTTACCACTTAAGTGCTTTCATAGAAAAAAAGGAAGGGGTCAAGATTTTAAAGGAAAATTGTTACCTTGGACATTTTGAACTTAATTCTGCATGTAACATTGACTCCTTAATATTGTTGTGATCAGATACAACATGATTATATATGGTTTTTGTTTTTTGTGGGGTTTTTTTTGACCATTGCTTTCTTAAGGAAAGCAAAGAGTGTAGGAGGAGGTCTTTCAAAACAAACTCTCTAAAAGCATTGAGACTATCATTCCATTTGATAACACAAATTGAATTTGGTCTCTGTGAAAATGCTTACTTTTCAATAATCTTCAACTTTGCCTTCACATGAAGGCTATGCAATTAAAACCAAACATTATGAAGATGAAGATTTATCTATTTTTGTTTCCATAGATATATGAAATTATTTTTTCATGAGATACTGTACATACTTACTATGCACAATATGCAAGCTAGTGTTTAGCAAAGTGAGAATGTCTGTGTATTAGTCTCCTTCAAGGTGAAAAGCATCAAAATTAATCTTGATGTATCAACCTGACAGACTAATTCTAATTTAGCATCTATAAGACAGGTTTTTTTTTCTTTCTTTCTTGCCCACCACTTGCACCTGCATGTTGGACAGCAGTCAGGTGGACAAACACACTCAATTTAGTCTGGAAGGTGTCATCAGGAATTCTTTCAACACGCAACAGCTTTTTAAGATTTTTGTGTTTTAGGTGGTAGCTACAACAGGTTTATTCTGTGTAATATTGCAACACAAAACAAAATAGTCACCATCAGGCCAAAATGATCAGAAATTGCAGAACAAAACAGGCAATAGTTCTGGATGGGGAGTAATGAAAAACAGACCACAGTTCATTCAGATATTAGAACACCAGTACCAAACAAAAGCTTTTGAACAAGTTACTGAGATTTGTACTTTGTTTTCCTCTTTCTTGTTTCTCTTCATAGGTTGTCTTTCTGGATCCACTACAAGGGCTAATTTAATGTTGGGAAAATTTAATGAAATTAATGAAAACAGCTATTAAAAACAAGGTGCAAATCTTAAATAAATTTGCTCATGTCTGCCTTTTCCTGTTCTTTATGATTTGCTTTCCTCTTCTTCAACCCTGAAACCATTTTTCCAACAGAGGCTGTATGTTCAGAAAGGAATTGAACAATGGATATTTTAAGCTTCCATTCTGAATGGACATAGGTATACGAGTAGCTAGTGGGCCAAACACATCAATTCCCTTCCGAGTTTTTTAAATACTCTCGTCTGCCTTTGTCTTCATAGGCTGGTTGAATTATTACATTTATGGAAGCTTATATTGCCTTTAACATTTCACTGGGCCCTTAAAATCAAAGCTGAAGACAAATATCCAAAAGCACTGAAATCATCGAAGGGATTTTTATTGAATGAAAGCATAAATTGTTATTATTCCTGTAAAGAAAAGAAATTCTGTATGTTATACTAATTGACAGAGAGGGATAGAGCCCCAATAGATTGTTTCAGAGAGGGATGTGACTTGATTATAGGACTTTTAGCAGTTCTAAATTCATGGACATATTATGTATTGCTTTTAAAATATTTTTAGGTTACTAAATATGAGGCTATATATTTGGAAGACTTTAGAATGAATCAATTTTATTTTTAGTTTTCTTCCTTATGTACTGACAGGGAGTATTTCTATAGGAAGTGAGGGAACTGCAGATTACTGTATTCAACCCATGAACCTGGAGGGAGGCATGATGCTATATTTTGTCACATGTTTAGTTACAGTCTTTAGAGGATATGAGGGAGCCCCTACCTAGGGATTAATCCAACCAAGAGACATGACATGCACTTAGTAGGAATGTATGCATTTCTAAGTGGAGTTGTGTTGGGCTGGCAGACAGCATACTTAGCCTGAGTGGCCCCACATGGAGACAAAGCAAGAAAAAGAATAAACCAAATGCATGCTATGGAGAGCCTCTTTACTAGTTCCTTTTATTTCCTGAAAGCAAACTAAAATAAATGTTCTGTGAAATTTATGAGTCTGAGGAATTACATTTTGAGAGGAACATATACCTCCACCAGGTGGGCTCACAGTCTACTGAGCAAGAAGCTCATGAAGCAAAATGGCCCGAAAAACACATTTATTCAATTTTAAAATAATGAGATTAGATTACTAGGAAAATAGAAAACCAGATAAAAACAGTTATGCTTTAGACAACTACATTTCCCTTTGGAATATCAGATGTGTGATATTTCCCTAAATTTCTTTAGTGAATTTTACTCTATTTTGGCATTAATTTTATCACTAGTCACAAGTAATCTCTCTCTCTCTAATAAAAACCAATATCAATATCAAGCATCATAGATAGATAGATGGTTAGAGATAGATAAATAATAAGAGCCAGTATCAGTACCAAGTAAAGCATATATGTAATATTATCCCCTTCTGAGTTATTACATGTGTGCTTTACTTGATATTGATATTAGCATTTATTTTTATTTCAGAAAAGGGTAGTTTATATAGGAACTTTAGTACCTTCATTCAATCCACCAAGTTTACTTCTTTAGGTACTGTCACATGGAATTTTCATACTGGGCCTCTTTGGAGAAAATAACAAAGTTGGAAAAGAGTATTCACTTTGATGGTAGATCACCTTCATTTTTCATCTCTACTTCAACCAGACAACTGTATCTAAATGTGTTTCTCCTTCCAAAATCACCCTTCTGAATTTATTATTTCCACTATCAAGATACTAAACATTTTATGGGATCATTTTTATTATTATTATGGTGTGCTGACTTTGAGAAGATTTTGGAATAAACAAAGTAGTTATTTATGACATATTTTGGGAGTCAAACAGTTGCACAAATTTCTTCAATAGTGCATTTAACTATAATTAGCATTATATAATTAGCATTTCTTTCCAATTACTATTACATATATATTAGGTGAAAGTAATAAAAATAACCACAAACATTATTTTCAACATAAATTGTTATTTGACAACATTTAGTATCATAACCCACATACATCTCTAATGATTTTGTATTTGCAGAAGTGACATGGTTTAATTAGGAATATTTTTAAGTAATTGTTGGAGAATATAAAATGGCTTAAAGATAAAATTATGTTTATATTGCTTTTAACCATAATCAGAATGTTACTTTTATTAATTCACGTTTTCTAATTGAAAAGAAAATCTTTTGTCCAAATGGTTTGTTTGCTCTCCTGCTACTGTCTTTCAGTTCCCTATATTTAGAATTTGACAAATATAAATACATATGAAATGTTCTCTCTTCTTACCTCAAATTGTCTACATCAATTATTTCTCTGTGGACTCTATATCCTTTGTACAACACCATGAATTTTCAGTACCAGTTTCAGTGAAAGATCATAACTATACCATATCTCCTGGTTATATGACTAATTTGTGTCCTTCCTCTAGATCATAAATTCCTGAGGCTCCAGGTAGCAGTTACTTCTTCTTGCCAAGTCAGTGAAGATGCAGGACAGATACAAGTGGTTACTTAGATGCCAGGGCCTTTAGCTTTTCCTATGGGACATTTGATGTCACAGTAGTGAAAAGCACAAGTGTGGGCTGTATAAACACACACGACCACAAAGACATCTGGATACCCATATTCCCAAAGTTACTCTTCAAAAGTAATAATTTCCAAATCACAATATTTATTTTATTAGTGTCCTATTAACCCTTTACTGATTTAAAGCTATTTTCCTCATCAATTATTTGACAAATCTATGGGAAGTTCTAGATAGTAATATGCATTTAAATTAACATACAAAGCACAATAATATAATATACAG